AATGAACAGCCAAGATGTAACCACGCAATTGACCTAAACAAGCAACGATCGAATGGCTCTCCTTGCTCTATGTCGACATGAACGGATGGCCCAGATCGACGCGGGATGGGTGTTTAAACATCGCGTCTCAGGGAACCCTAAACCAAGTCGTACTTGCCCTCGTCAAAGAAGAAGAACCAGATGCTAGAGAACTGACCCCTGGCTGCCGCCGCTCTGGAGCCACCACCGACTATCAAAAAAGGTATAATTTCCTCCTTCCCACTAGGAATTCGATTCCAAGTCTCCCTGCGGCCATATCGAAGTAAAAGGGACAATGGGTAAGCCAGAAACCCCTTCAATGAGCCCCTTCCCATTCCCCGTTTTATATAATTTTTCGACTATTTTTTTCACCTTCTTTTCCTGTACAGGTTAGCCAAAAAAAAAAACCACAGCCGCAAAGATGAACTGGTGGATTCACCGCACTCGGAGACCCCCTCACCGGTAGGTTCGGGTTCTTTCAATTTTCTATGCAACTAGGACCTCCTAACATTTTTTTTACTGAATTACGTGTCAAAACTGGCCAAAATTTGCCAGATCGAGGCGAATCACTACCATGGAAGGTAGAGGCGTTGGGGCACGGTATCATCGCCATGCAAGAACACTAAAATTGGCCGAAAAGGGTTTTCAACACCGATTTTGGGTATTTAGAGTATATTCAAGATACTCATTAGGGGGTGTAATAGATAGCACGACATTTCGAAATATCGATTCAGGTAAGAATTTCCTACCCTATTCTTTGTTACGGTAAGTTGAGGCTTAATGATGGATAATTTTTTGTTTTGTAAAAATTAGAAAAAAATCCTAAAAATGATTACAGGTCATTAGTAGAGTCGAAACATGTTAGTTCATATTTGTCCCGATTCTTTGTTTATTTTTCTGTACTACCTAAATTATTTACTATTATATTGTGTGCATTTAAATTGATAATTTTTATGGTCTTCTCGATTGTTGGTTATTTGGCTCCTCCTGCATTATTTATTCGGTATTGTGGTTATTTAGTTATTCAGCTATGCTAAACTATATTGCTTACTTAAGTGCCGTTTGAATTAATTTATGAATATGAAATGAGATGTTGGTATGCGTTACTGGTTATTTGAATGATGAGAATCTATATAAATAAAAGTTTGTTGGGTATCCTTAGAAAGAGTGGACGAACCTAGTTCATAGAGAACTCTACCGTGGGCATTACTTCAATCGAACGAGACTAAGAAGTTCTAAATCGGATGAGTTTTGAAAGATATGATTTACCCTCATATCGGACGGGGTATCGAGACGATGGTATTTTTGGCGCCCATTATCAGACGGGGTATACAGTCGAGTTAATTGTCAAATCTTGATACTGGGTCTACAAGTAGAGGTATATTACTATGGACCCCCAATAGTCCTAGTAAGTAGCTTAAAAAGGAAGATTTGATGATCTTATGCATGAAAAGAAAATATTATTTGGATATTCGTATTCATAGGTTGATTTTGGAAAAAATCGTAATAGTAAGTATCGGATATAACATTTTAAAGTTAAATATATTTTCTTAAGCAATGGCTCCATTAGTTACTTTCTGATTTTTACCAATTTATTTTTTGTATCAATGATTAATGTAATATTCTTGCTGATGTAGTATATCTCACCTTTTTAATAATCATTTCAATTTAAGAAGACCAAAATCCAAATCATGATCAGCAAGAAAGTTGTGAGTAGTCCTCCACCCCGACTCCCTTCAGGTGCTAGTGAAGGTTACCCTTAAGATATCTATTTATGATTTTTTTTAATTACCGTTTGTCTTTTTATGAACCATCCTAGAAGGGACATTCCTGTAATCCAATTTGTTATTTTAATTTATTGTGTAAAGAATGTAAACTCTAACATTATTATTCAATTCCGCATTTAAAATATAAATTCATTTCTTTTGAGTTTCGCACCATTACAGTTGGTATCAAAGCCACATTTCTTGAAATTATTCCTTACACAAAGACTTAAAAATACTAAATACAAACTGTTGTTCAACCCTTTCTTGTGAAATGCAGGTATAAGGAAATGAGGAGAGAATGGCCCCACTAAACTGAACTGCCTGGGATAGTTCGCTTCGAGAGGATGTTGACCGACTCTTTGAGATGATGAGAGACTCATCTTTGCCCACCAGGCCTAAGAGGAAAGGAATAAGCTACCTTACCTTCCCCCACAGCCACAATTTGAGCCACCCTTACAACAGGAAGATCTGGAGCCACCCCGGTACAACCCTGCTCCTTTACCGTACCATTCGGCACCACTACAATACAATCAGGTGCCTCAACTATATCATCTGGCACTGTCACAGGGCCACCCGGTCCCTCTACAGCACAATACAGTCCGTCTTCCGTGAGATTTAGTTCCACCCATGATGGACCCAGACTACATAGAAAAGTACAAAAAACTAAACTCATCTACCTTTGCAAAGGTATCCTTTATCGAAGTGGTAGAGTATTGCTTAGTTGAGAGAGAGAAGGCCTTCGCGACTTTTAGGTTAGTTCCTAAACATAAAGTTGTATTTGTCACCTACATGCTCGTGGGAGAGACAAGTAGTTGGTGGCAGTCCGTTTCAGTCACTTGGGAATAGTTTTCGATGACCTTCAATGCAGAATAACTCCTAGAGCACGTTCAATATTTGAAGAAATGGAGTTTGTGCACCTAGTCCAAGGTGATATGATTGTATTAGAGTATGTTTGAAAGTTTCTAGAGTTCAGCCGGTATTTTTCCGAGAGTATGATGGATGAAGGCATGAAGGCAAGGAAGT